TATGAATCTCATAATCTAATTATGAATGCCGAAATAAAATGCTATAAAGAATGAAGGATATACATAGTTTCTAAGGAAATATGATATGCCTCCTAATTAAAAAATATATATACAGGAACCCCAAAGAATTTTTCATAAATCAAAGAAGAGTAGTCATCAACTCAGTTTCGGATTTCAACTCAATTTTAGCTGACAGAAAAGTTAAAAGCCAGCAATCAAGTAATGTATATCTATTTCTTCCATAGAGTTATGGTTAATCTGCAATTTTCATGTCAAAACAATGGAACTAGTCTTCTGGTTTATCCTTCATGGACATGTCACAGGTTCATTAAAGCATGACATTTTTGGTAGTATGACAAAATACCATTTAGCCAATTTGCTATAAATTACCTCAGGAACATGAATAGTCACTGATTCTGCAAAATTAAATCCTAAGCTGCGTGAATCTAATGGTAGTAATTAGAAAACACAAATTATCACGAAGTAGGTATCCAGCTCTACAATCAGGCTACGAGAAAACTCTACAATCAAGGGGCAATGGCAGAGACATCATCATTAGTCTAATCAGACAAAAAAGAGAAATGATTTTGCACACAGTAACAGAGAAAAACCAAGATATAGGATCACAAATTATCACAAAAACCATGAGCAACTTGTCTTAGTTGTACAATCACGACCCAACAGGTACATAAACAGAACAACATCTAATTATACTAGTTAGTTAACACTTAATAATGCAACTCAGATGTATAAGCAAATTTCTGAAATCAGTGCACTTTGACATCAAAGAAAAACCCACAAGCATGTTTAGAGCCAATGTCAAGAAACTTACCAATTCTCGGAGCTGTCGCGCTAACTACCGAATCACTTGTTGAAGGAATCGAGCTGCCCTCCATATCTTCAAAGTTCCAGTATAGCAATGGAGAGGGAATGGAATATGCAAATGGAATCTATTCAATTGCAGGCTGCAGCCCCCAATTTTTAATGTTAGGGTTTCGAGATTAAAAATTAATATTACATTTATAAAATTTAACCTCATAATATACATATTTACTACAGAAATGCACAATAAGTACCTCAATTTGTCAAATGCAGCTATTGAAATTGGTGGGTTTTGATTAATTTAAACCCTCGCTCAAAGGTCGGCTACCCACCGCTGCTACCAACTCCATTTTGAGCTCCAGGAGAAGGAAGAGGGAAGATTAGTTGAACTGCTGAAGTGTTTAAAGCTCTAGATGTCACGGCTGCCTTGCGACGTGTGACAGTTGAGAGAATGAGAGATTGAGATTTGAGAGTCAAGGTTGAAGCTGAACTGCTGAAGAGGAACGAAGAAGAAGAATGAAGGACGACGGAAAGAGTTTTCAGTTTTCATTTTTAGTTTTCAGCATTTCATCATATTTCTCAAGCCAAAATTACTTATTCACCCTTCATTATTACTACAACATAACTGGTTAAGCCCGTAAATAGACTAGCTAACAAACCTAAAAGAGTAAATTGATAACTAAAATTATATACAATACATATATGCTATCAATCTCAAGCTACTCGACGAGCTAAAAATTCCCCCTCCTAACTACTCGAGATCGACTCGTTTCCTATAGCGAGTAGCTCGAGATCGACTCGAGATCAAATTTGACCGAGCTCGAGTCGAGTATCCAATCAAGCTACTCGCGAGCTCGATTCAAGCTACTCGATTTCTCTGCACCCCTAATTCACTACATATTGTCACTTTTATAAAATTCTTAATCTACCCTTAATTATAAGGATAAATTGGTCCCAATGTATTCCTAAAAGAACTCCCCATAATTATCAAATAGTTATCTCGTTAAGATCTAATTACAACTTCTTCACGCTAATTCCCCCACATCTCCACTTTTTTCTCCACCATGATTTTAAATAGAATAACTTCCTATAGCATAATAACTATATAGATATTTCAAATACATACGTACATGTACATGTGCGTGTCTCTCTCTCTTTATATATATATATATATATATATATATATATAGAGATAAATACACACACCATGATGTGTAACAAAGGAAAACTTTGAAGCATGTTTACATATTGAGAAAAGAGGTGTGGAAAGCAAAAATAAATGGCTAAGAAATATCCATATTGTGACTACACAGAAAACAATGGTCATGCGGTGGAAACAAAGGTCCACCTCACAACGGAATGCAATCGGTTCATGAATGAGTGGGTCCCACTAATAGAGATGTAGCGAAGGGGTGGGAGACGGGGGAAAAATGAAGAGGCAAATTTGTAAAATAAAACAAATGAGAGGAGTGTTCCACAAAATAGTGATATACTTGTATTAGAAATTGAAAGTAGGCACATATCCATGTGAATGTTGGTCAATGAGAATAGCTCTTGAACCCATTGGAGATATTAATTAAAAAAAAAACAAAAAACTACCCTTCTTAATTAATCATTTACAACAAAGTACTTCACACTACAATTTTGGTTTTCCAAAATGCAAGCTAAACCAAAATTGATAAGTTTAGCTTAATTGATAAGTTTTATGCAATGAAATTAGGAAATTAATGAATAAAGTTTTAACAAGTTAATATGTATTGGTACAATTATTAACAAAAAGTGTGCATGTTTTCACCAATGAAATTAGGAAATAATGAGCAAATTTTTAGCAAGTTAATATGTATTGGTACAACTATTAATAAAAAAGAGTAAATGTTTCCACCAATAAAATTAGGAAGTAATAAATAAATTTTAACAAGTTAATATGTGCTAGTACAACTATGAACAAAAAAATTGAAGTTTACTGATCAATTAAGCACATAGTAAGGCCAACAATAATTTACAAAGTAAAAATTTCCACTTTGCCATAATATGCATATTTATTTTGCCGATTGGCTGATCTAAACCTCTGCCTAACAAATTATATATTTGTTTGCCACATGGACCTATAAATTCTTTGTATTTATTTTTTGTAATTTTTTATTAATATTCTATTTTTGGCAACAATTAATCCCATTCTTTTTCACTTCCTTATTTATAACAATTCTCAATGAATTTAATGGTGTTTGCCTTATATATGTTTCTATTTGTTATACCTTACTAGTTACTGCATATTTTGATCAACAAACATATAGTTTTTGGTTTCTCTCCAATCATGTATTGTAATTTATTACTTTGCTTGCTTGTATATGAAAAGTTACTATTACAAATATATTTACATTTTTTATTTTATTCTACACCACTTCCTTCTTTTATTTTGCTGGATTATAAATTAGAAGTTTATATGATGTTTTCTATTTCTATTATTTGGCTTGATTATTTTTTAATACTTGAAAAATGATGACAATTTTAGATTTATCTACATGACAATTTCGACCAGAAATCTGCAAATACAAAAAAAAATTACTATTACCTCCCTTCCAATTACGACTTTATGTACCAACGTCCACCCCTATGACATAAAGTCACAAAAAAAAGCAAAGGAATGAACATTGATGCCACATTCTTTTTTTTTCGTTTTGGCCTTATCCGGGTCAACATCAAAATAAATTGCTTAACATTCATTACAAAATCAATGAATTGAAGCAAATATCAAAATTAAATTGCAAAATAAAAATTGTAAAAGATGTTAGTGCAGAAGTGTCCATCATTGACCATTAAATATCATTTAAATCTAGTTTTCAATATGAACATATCATTCATTAAACATATTCAATTTTTTTTTTTTTTGCAAATGGTAAGTGGCAGATATTTAACTGGATGCTAGATAATTTTAATATACAAATTTCCAACTTTTTCTACATTTTCTTAAGTGATTTTCTCATATGTACATTACAAGCCAAATAGGGCTCATGGATGTTTCGATTGACATGTTTGTATTTTGTTGTCTATTCCGATTGCACTCCTTTTCGTTTGCCAGTTCTAGGCTTCTGCAGGAAATTATACCCTTCTCAATATGTTTGGTCCAATGAGATTACATCCACCTTTTATATTTCCCCTTACACCCTAACTCAATGGTATCTTTTTTTGGTTGCCCCCCTTACTCATATTTATTTCTTTTCAGACCCCTTTAATTTTCCAAAACAGCTAGCTCGATTGCTAGTCATCTTCTTACGGTTACTTAAAGGTTGTCGGTTGCCTAAAGCATCAATGCACACTAACACGTGTAGGCCAAAAAATGTGTTCCCCATAGACTTATGGTTGTGGTGTCCTCTTAGAGCTCTTGACCATTGACTAAAATGTTGGATCGATTTTATATAAAATATATAAGATGTGATTTTATATACATATAATATAATTTACTTTCAACAACGTGTAACTATAGCATAAAATTTTGTCAGTCCCATATATGATGTAAAAAATAATATATAAGATATAATTTGGATCTTATATTTTCTTGGCCAAATTTTAACCATGAATCCTCATGAACAATTGATTCCTGCAATGTTTCTGCCCCTAGTGCCAAAAGCAATGATATTTAAAAAAAAAAAGAAAAGAAAAGAAGCAGAGGTGGCTGAACATCGGATATGTACGGACGTGTCGGTCCAAAATTCATAATCCAAGTTCTCAGTGTCATATGTTTTCACTAGTTACCTCAAAATACCCCAAAAAGGAAAAACATTTAACTAGAAAAGAACACCCAGTATCTTGTTGATATGACAGTTGCCATTTAGATTCTATGCACTTTACAACTTCTGCTCTGAATGATAATGATGTCCCAATAAAGAACAACCCAAAAAAAGAGAGAATGTTCACTTCTTGTTGATTAAATTATTATTCTTATTGCCACCAAAATTACCAAGAAAGAAAATTTTTGTACCAGTATTCAGGCTCAGAAGTTTGGCCTGATAAAAGTTGGAACACCCGGTTCTCCTGGGAGTTTTAACGGCCGAAATAAAAGCGCAACCCACAGTTTTACTTAATTCTTGTTAGCTCATTTCTCTGCCTTCTCTTGCCTCTCTGGTGATCAATCTCCTCTTCTCTTTTTTCTTACAGTTATATCTTTTTTTTCCCTATTGTACTGTTTATTCAGTTTTTGCATTTGAATTGAGCTTCATTTGAATTTGCTTTTTTTAGGGTGCTTTCTATTTTTATCCGAATAATATATAGAGCTTCTGCTTTCACATATTTCAATGGTTTCTCTGAAATCACCATGCCCATGTGGGCTTGGATTAGCAAACCCGGGTGAGTTTTTCACCTGGGTTTTTTGAATTTTAGTCTTTCTTCAACAATTTTCTTGAGAATCCCTTGTGGCAAAAGTGGAAATCCATGGGGTTTCAGCAAAATTTTGAGCTTTAACTGAGGTCATTATTGCCTTTTAAGGTAATTAATTTTGAAGTGATTCTGTTGTTAGCGAGCCAAAGAAAGTTCCCTGGTTTCTTATTTTGGTTAGAATTGAAGAAATGATCCTTAACATGTAAGGTCTGTTTATATCTTATAAATTTGGAAATCAAAATGCTTAATTGTCCCCATTATCTGATGCGAAGTATAAATATCGTGGGAATGTAGCAGTGAGGATCATTGTAAAGATTACAAACAGCTGTTTGAGGATGATTTGGGTATCTTTGCAAATATATGCATCTAAGTGGAGTTTGTTTTACTTGTATATAGGATGGGAAGGGTTAAGCTAAAGATAAAGAGATTGGAAAGCAATAGCAATCGGCAAGTTACATATTCGAAAAGGAGGTCTGGAATCTTGAAAAAAGCCAAAGAAATTTCTGTACTATGTGACATTGATATTATGCTTCTTATGTTTTCCCCAAATGGAAAACCAACCATATTCACCGGAGCACGCAGGTAATTTTCAAAGTATCTGATTTGATATAAAGTTAAAGCACGATGGATTTAATATGAGCTACAGGGCATTTTTGTGTCTTTGTTTTGTATAGGTTAACAATTATGTTTATGTAGTCTCACATTGTACACACTGTGGTGTTCTTCTGAGGCGTTGTACATATTCTGTAAATTGAGCCCATTGATCCTCCTCTCCAGCTTTCTCTCTGTCCGGCTAAGTGTATAAAAGACAATTTAAAAATCTCAAGGTGTTTGTCTCCTTTTCTTAGCCATAAACTTTAAACCTGACTAATCCCTTGTCTATAAGTTGATTACAATTATAGATGGAGGATCCTATTTTTGTAGTTATGTTGGTCATGTTAACATAGAATAGGAGTGAACAGGGAAGCTCACATTTCAACATATGAAGGCATACAAATGGGGTAAAGTTTTTATCTTAAATATCATCACAATGGAGTTGTCCAGGTCTGGTTATAGTAGAGAACTAGAGATTTTGCTAGAGTTTCTCCTTTAACAAGTTTTGCCTAATTGTCTCCAGAGTCTTTCAACCTAGATGATGGAGATAGCATTGTTTCAGTAGTGGCAATACCTTTTCAGATTGCATATCTTTTAATGTCTTGAAGTAGTTTGCTCAAAAAGAGGTGTTTGTTTCATCATTATTTTATCATAGGAAATTGATAATTGCATCCTTAAGTTAGTTTGTGCGTAACTGACCTTTTAAACAATGTTGGCTACTATTCAGCTATGAAAGCAGTTGGGGTTGGACTTTTGGAGTTGTAGGATTTGTATGGCATGTCTTTCTCCAATTTCTTCCCTGGACATATACTTTTGAAGTATTGGACAAATTACTATGGATTCATCTAAGAAAACAATAGCATAACTATGTAAGGCTTGTGATTTCTTTTTGGTTTTAGTGATTTGTTTCTAAAGTCATAGTTATGAGAAGTAAGGTGTTAAATAGACTAGAACAGTACATCTGGCTTATGTCTCATTTTATACTTGCCTTTCATGTAGACTATCAATCTCTAGTTTAAATATCCCATCTTTGATTGTACACACTCATCGATGAGTGATAGTAAATACTTGCTAATATTCATCTTTGATGTCTCTTCAGCAATGTTGATGAGATTATCTCAAAATTTGCTCAACTATCTTCTCAAGAAAGGGCAAAAAGGTATTCAAAAACTCTGGTCAAATGGCATTAATTCCCAGCTGGTAAAAATCATATCATAACTGAATAATTCCTTTCTCCTGCATTGCAACAGGAAGTTGGAAAGCCTTGAGGTAAGTTTGAAAGCATAATCCAATTTATTGTCATATCATGTCTCCTTTTTACATCTACTGAAATTATATTTCTCCATTTACATAAAGTGAAAAGATATCCATGCATTTGCTAGGTTTTGAAGAAAACTTTTAAAAAGCTTGACCATGAGATTAACATTCAAGAGTATTTGGATGGAAGGTGCGTAACCATGTTTGGTGTTAGATATCATTGATTCAATTTGTGATGCGCGTAGTTAACTGAAACATTTTTAATCTTCTCATTCTTGCAGTGCTCCATCAGTTGAGGTTGGATGATTCTCAATGCTATCTGCATACTTTTGTGTCAAGAGTCATTCAAATTATTGCTATTAATGATGTATTTTATGTTGATCCATGTGCTGCTAGGAATCCTGCAGCCAAGTCAGAGTTCTGCGAGCTCAACTAACAGAATTGCACAATAGACTAAGGTAGGGATTGGAAAATTTTCTGGAAAATTATTGCTTTTTTCTTCTACTTTTTGGTATTATATGGAGGTTTAACAATGTGAAAACTGTTGTAGGGATCAACAATCAAGATCTTGTCCTTCAAACTTTCTTGACAACATTTGTTCTGTGTATATTAATTATCTTCTCAAATATTTGCTTCATTTACTTTGCAAATGGCATGATTTTCTCAAAGATGATATAATGCATAAGTTATTCTACTGAAAAAAAAAGGATGAAGAAAATCAGAAGTTATGTTGTTCTTAAATCTGTGAGAGGATTTAGTTATAATCCATTTACTAGCTCGCTCAATCATATAAATGATGGTTGAAGGCTTTAGCTTTGGCACTAACATTTCCCTTGGGACTAAATAAAGGGTAACTAGCATTCGAGCTAAGGAGTCTCTATTAAGTAAGATGCATTCACAGAACATAAATATTCTTGAAACAGTTAAACACTCTTATATCATCTAACTGTAGCCTGTGTATATCTAGATGTTATAATTTCAGGCCATTGAATTTCAGTGCGTTTGATGATGTTAAGTTGACATGGTAAGCCAGAAGTTCAAATGGTTATACTTTGGAAATGCTATTGGGGTCGGTACAGTCCATTTTTTGCCTTAAAACTGCTCCATTGAGAATCCAGATTCAGCACCCATTTTGCCAATGTATTGGAAATTTTGGTCTGGGTATGTTGTAGCGATTCTAATATTGGCTATTGTTATCCCTGTTCTCATGCCATCCAGGTCCAGCTAATTTTGGTGTTTGGAAGGACCTTTTCTTACTAGCTTGCAGGCACTATTTAGGTTTTATATGCTAGATTGTTCATGTGATACTTTCATTAACATTACAATTTTGTGTGGCCTCAGCTGGTGGAGTAACCCAGAGAAGGTAGAAGATATTGAGCATCTCAGGCAGATGGAAGGTTCACTAAGGGAATCACTTACTAGAGTTCGTGCACTTAAGGTACTATTACATCTATTGAGCACAATTTTACTATGAGTAATAGCAATATATGCATAAATGTGCTATCGATTTGACATAGCTGCACTTAATTTTCTTGGCACATATTGCATATATTGGTTTACCCTGGCTATGCATGACTAAAAATTATAAATGAAAATAATTGTCTCTTTAGTTAGACAGTTTCCATGGTACCATTACCTGATGTATCTGATTTTCTTTTTGAGGATCTGAGCATTCTAAGAAAATTGATCTACACTGCTTGATCTAACCACGTTGCTAAACCAGCACATATAATTTACCATATCTAGGTTCCCTTTCACAGGAAAATTTTGTGAAGCACCAGCTTATGCCATTAAATTACTCAGGCCAGGTAATGAAGCATTCAGCTGACAAGTGAAATCTCTGTGCGTGTGTGTGTGTGTGTGTCTAAATGTCTGCGATTGACTAATCACTAATTTGCAGCTGCATGTGTATGTGCATATCTGGCCTGGCCGTGTCATTGCTTATCATCATTGCATCATATATAATGCATGGCGCCTGTCTTGTTTCCCAGTTCCAGAGTGGAATGCAATTTCCGATGACGATGGATGGTAACCAAGATGGAACAACGCTGCCATGGATTCAAGATAATGAGAATCAACCTGTGATATTGTCCAAGGACTCAGACTTTATTACTCAGAGGTTAGTTAAATTTGATACTCTTTTGTACCTTGTATTTCCTCTAACCTCAGATGTTTGCATCTAGTATGGTTTGTGTCACTACCTAAATTCTTTTCTGAGTAACCTGATCATTTTTTTTCTGAAGTACTGATTTGGTTTCATTATAAAGTGTGACTAGTACAACCATTTAACACTTTGTTCTCAACTGCTATAGAATTTAATGTATTTCCAATAGGTTTTTGATTTATTTGATGGCCATTTTCCATTTGTAGAGATATGGAATACCCCAGAGACGCGTCCCTTCCCGGCTGTTCTGCACTCTTTACCACGGGAAAAGAAGCAGAGATTGATAATACAGGATTGATAGATAACATCAACTGCCCCAGAGATATTACCCTTTCTAGCTGTTCTGGTTTATTTAGCAATAGTAAGGTAGAAGGGACCAACAATACGGGAAAGATGGATAATATGGAATGCCCCAGAGATACATCTCTTCCAAGCTGTTCTGGTTTAATCGACCGAGGGAAAGAAACTGAGTTTCATAATGCAGAACAAGTTGATAGTATAACACAAGAAGGTAGTGCAATGGATGATTTAAGTGCCATTTCATGCTTGAGATTACAACTTGGTGGGGAACAACCATACTATCCATATAGTCATCTAAACATACCAGAACTCAACAAACTAGAGGTTGGACGAGAGGCAAATTTCCAAGAGAATCCCATGACTTATCAAATGAATGGGAACTTTGAATTGCCTAGATCCATTTATGCAAATCTGGGCCATCCTTGGTTCCCTGCATCTGATGACTGTGAGATCAACATGATGAATGACAATCCATTTACTCAGGTGATGATCTATTTTTAATTTTTGAAAGTTTGAGTATTGAACCGCTTTTTGATTTGTTGTTTAGCTTCACAGATGAAATCTTAAGATATGTATGTGCCTTTTTCTGGGTAGTGATTTGTGAATGCTTCTCCTAGTACACTAGAAAAAAGAAATATTCATGTTTTACATGGAAATCTTGGGAAAATGGATCTTTCGGATTTCTATATACTGCTATAGAAGGGACAAGTATTTTGGATGCCTAATTTCACTGTTCATTCCTGATAGGGTGTTCTTTAAAAGTCAAAAATCACTGATATGGTTTTAACTTCTACAAAATCACTGAAGGGGTGAAAGGTGACTTGGAGTTAGTTATTTCCAGATTTGAGTAGCAAGTCAAAGGTTGTCTGCTATTGAATGAGAATCTTGAGTATGGAAAGTACTTGTGTAACAGGAATTGAGGTTGGTCTTAAGTGAAAATGAGAGTTTGTCTTCGTACTTGATCATTCTATGTTAGAAAGCCAGTTCAACTCTACAAGGGAAATTATATTAAGAGTAAGTTTCAGAAATTTCACCTAAATTTCCTGTAAATTTTTCAGTCCCATGTGTTTGTATCTACATTTATCAATTCTGAAAAACTTGACATGATTTCTGAAATTGACATCATTGATATGTTGGGCTCATGAAGAATTATTCAGAGACCACAAATCCGTCTTGAATTCTTCATCAAATAATGCTATTTTGATAACTGTGTCAGACTTAAATTGGTTACAAGAAAGTCGTATGCTTGATTCCTAGCTCATTTCTCCTCCTATAGTAGTGAAAGGTAACTGAAATATCTATAGTTGTTTGAACCCGTTGTATTTGCTCCACATTTGACTGTATTAGCAAGGAAAGGGGTTGTCTAGGCAACATAAGTAAGACACTTTGAGGTAAATTGAAGCAAAAAGCAAACTGATAGCTACTCTGTTCCTAGCATGAAAAGAGAAAAGTTGTCATAAAGTAGTTTGAGCAGAGTGGTTAAGTAATAACAAAACTTTGGCCTGTACTTGGTGAGACATGCTTCAAAAGCGAACATTTATCGTTGAAGGGCCTATATTGTTGTGATTTTTGAAGAAAATGAAAGGGGGAGTTTTGCAACATTCATTCTAATATTCACTTTTCAGCTATTAAGTTCAATGAGCAACATGTTGTCCATGCATATATTGCTTCGTAATAGATGCCCATTTTAAATTTTCCATTTTTGAATCTTGTTTGAGGATTTGCATCAACTTTTTAAGATTGCGCCATGTACTTTGCTCTGATATCTGTGGGGAAGTTCGAAAAAGCTTTGGCTTATCAGTAGATTAGTTAGAGTCTAATCCTATAAAGGCCGGCAGAAGGAATGCTTTCTCTTTTTCCCTTTTTCCCCAATTTGTTCTTAAGATTGCGCCCTGTACTTTGCTCTGATATGTGTGGGGAAGTTCAAAAAGGCTTTGGCTTGTCAGTAGATTAGTTAGAGTCTAATCCTATTGGTTTGAACTACTTTCAGGAACTCTGTTCACATCCCCCGCTCCTTCTTCCCCCTCTAGCCTCTCAAACAAAATGAAAGGACTAGTCAAAAGAAACGGTAACAGAAACAAGAAAGCCAATGGGATGAATGTTATTTTTCTGCAACCTGGCTTCATTGGAAAATTTCAATTTGACTAGCTATTTTTCAATCTATCGACTTAAAAGGCATAACATTAACTTGTTTCCAATTTCTATTTGCTTTTCGTGGATTTGTCCATAGGTTTCTCCTGGGTTCTGTGAATTTGGAGAATTAGTTGGAAGTTGCATATTGCTTCCCATTTTTCTTTTAACAATGTTCAAAACCGTTCCATATTGCTACAATCTGCCAGTGCTATAAATCGCACATTAACAAAACTTAAATGGAGGCTGTGAATCGAGATTTTGGGAAACTTAATGGGAAACAATACAAGTGCAGCACAGTTTGTAATATCTTCTTATTGCCATTTAACTTTTGCTTGTATTATTTGTTTCTGCAGCCATCATCACAACACCCTTGACGATGAGGAGGAATGATGAGTTGCGTTGCCCATGCGCAGCAAGAGTGATTTTGCTTGGTGTTTTATAACTTCTTGATCTTCACAATCAGCAACAGAACTGGCCAATTATGTTGGTTCTTTAGCATGTAGAGATTTCAAATAAGAGGTTAGCCTCTGCAATAAGCCCCGTTGTTATGGTTTCTTTGTTTCACTTTTGTTTTTTTGGAGATAAAATAGTCAAAAAAAAAAAAAAAAACCCTGCTGTTCTGGTTGCTGTTTAGCTTATTTAGAATTCCTTTAGGTATTAGCAAAGGGAAAACGAAACGAATTCTGTAGCAAACTTTGAACAAACTACAACATTTTGTCCCATCGCATACTCGGTGTAAATTCTGTTCTGTTGATTGATGTAGCTGACAAAATATGAATGGTAATTGCCATCTTAGTTTCACTGTACATCAAAGATCTAAAATTTGTTCCATCTCCAATCAAAACCATTCACTCATTTGTTACAAGCTCCATCATACTCGTTTATTTACCCGCAAATGTTTGAACGATTGTGTTGTGCCATGGGTCTGAAAGGTGCTTCAGCAGGTTGTCAAACGGTCCTTCTCCAGTGACATTGTACTGGATGATGAATCCTAAGAAAGCCAACATGGCCAATCTCCCTGCGAAGACAAATTCAAATAGTTAGCCCAATTTAACATAAAAAATTTCGGGAGATCTGCTTCAGATGCAGTTCAGAGAAACAGAATAGGATTGTGGTAGTAGTCTCACCATTGGCTAACTCTTTTTCTTTGGCCTCCTCGGTAGGGGCAAGGTTCAGAGGGTTGAAAATACTACCTGGGTAGCCACACTCATGAGGGGGCAAACTGTAGCTCTTGAAGATAGGATCTTGGTTAACACATCCTGGGTTCTTGATGTCTTGCCATCTCCTGATCTCGACGTAGTGGAACAGGATGAACTCGATCACGAAAAGCGTCGACGATGATGCAAAGTATTCAGCTTTCCCAGCATCGTACCAGTTAGGAGCATTAATGATTCCAATCTTAGTTAACACTTCAGGTAATATCATTCCAACAACTCCCAGCATAGCCCATCGACTGTTGACAAGCTCAGCCTGGATCATCCATCTCAAGTTTTCGGGGTCCTCGGCTAGCCCCAGTGGATCAAAGCCATTGTCACCAGGAAGACTGATGAACACACACGTATAAAAGCGCTTAGTTAGTGTTTGGAAAAGCATTAAACAGGAGCAAATTAAACCATATAACCGTTTCATTTTCATATCAAGATTAGTATATGAAACTGTGCGATAAGAGATTAGTACCTGCCATCAAGATAGGGAGGAGAGGCCAAGCCCGGTAGCCATTCACCTTTCTTGGCTTCAACTTTGAATGAAGTGGTGGATGAAGAGGTTGATGGTCTAATGGAGACTCCCCTGTTCAACTTGCCAGATGATCCAGTAAGGAACCTGGTTTTCGAGGCGCATGGCCGGAAAACTGCAATGGAAGCTTGTGTTGTAACTGCAGCCATTGTTTCCGACCTGAATATTGATGAGAGGAAATGATCTGAGAAAAGGGTAGTGATGGTTGGCTCAAGTCTTAACTAGAAGGTGTGTTTTGATGTATGCATTTGTATTTCATTTCACTGGTTTTTTTGTGGTTCTGATTCAACGTGTAAAGATTCAGTGTTGGCTGGCTAGATTTTTGGGGATTCAACGGCTATGATGGGGTTTGGATTTTTTCCTAGCCAATGGGATGGAAAGGCCCTTATCCTTATCTCTCTTGCCATATCCATATATCTATTTCTGTGTTTCTGTTGGCTTGGAAAAGATCCTGGGGGACCCTCTGATTGCCAGGTGGGTAGAAATTTTGATATGCCAAATTAAAGATCTCTTGTGTTGAATCTCTTATGACCAATTGATTATTGGTCTGCTAGAATTTGTGCGAGGAAACAATATGCATCTGGAGTGTCACAAAATTGGCAGAAAAAATGGAGGATTTTAGGTGATGGTTTATCAAATCCGTTGATGTTCACTTCATGATCACTTGGGGACAATTTTACTTAACAAAATTTGCATTTACTTTATAAAATTTTGATGAAAAACTTGAAGAATGATCAACTTCTGTGATGATTTTCTTAGTTTTTTCATAATTCTAGTTTGAGTCAAATTAAAGGCTGTGCTTAATCATTTGAAACATGGAATATTGCTATTGACAAGAACATATAAAGAAAAACACAAAGGTCAAACTGGGCTGCTCTACAAATGCCTAACGAATCCACTAATGCACCATCGCCTTCAATTAGGACTCTTAGAACTTTTCTCGCCGTCAAATTCAGAATTCAAATCTTGTGCTTAGCACTTAGGGACAAAAAAAAAAAATATGTGGGGAGAGATGAGAGTGTTAAAAAAATAAAAATACAAATAAAAATAGTTGTACTATAGCCCTAATAAATATTGTATTTGTTAAAAATTTCTGTTATCACAATTAGCAAGAACCAAGACTCTGGCGTAACATTTTGATATCTCAAGAACAAAGTGAAATTTTTTGAAAATCCGATATTTACAAAGCACAATCTTAACCCTTTTCCCAACTTTTTTTTTTTTTTCCTTCTCTTATCCAAGGGATTCATATTATGAATCCACTTCGCATCAATTCTAAATTTGAGATCTTGGGTTACTCAACAGAATCCATCATTAAAGTCGAGGATAAGTGTAAATGTTGATGGAATTTATTTGTAGAAAAATAAAGGAAGCCTTCATTTGTGCAGGATAAAGAATTTTGACAAAATATAACTTATGGATTATCCAAAATGTCACCAGTCATAGAATCCATCATTAGACTTGTTTTGTGCAGGATAAGGAATTTTGACAACAAAATATAACTCATGGATTATCCAAAATGTCACAAGTCATGCTGCAGATTCATATTGGACAGGTCAAAACTTATACCTACAATCATCCTTTGAGACCAAAGGAGTTGCATTTCTTTAAAACTGCTCCAGCCCAGAAGAACATTACAGAATCTAGGTCCACGAAATAATAGCGACCAAAGGGTGTCCTGCATACTTAGAAACAACAAGATTTATCTCTAACTTGGCCCTTTGAAGAGAAAATCCGGCTCACAAGCAATAAAATCAGAAGTTGAACTCTCCCGTTGCCTGAAGAAATAAGGGAAGATCCACCAAGATTTGTTGATGTTCAGTAAAGGTAAGAAACAAAAGGGTAAGAGATCTTAAGAATGTGATAATATGGATATAACATATAGTGAGCGTGATAATGTGTATAGTTTTGTCAAGGATAGCAAGAACATTGTCATAAGGCCGTTGAAGTCAGGATCAAAATCTAAGTCTAATCAATTGAATGGGACTAATTTGTTACTTTGGCTTGGTGGCCCTTTATCTATGGCAATGTTGGACACATTTTGTAGTGGGATTGGTTCCGTTAAAGAAATCCATTGGGAAAACGTAGTTAAATCTCCGAGTGGGTTCCATACCAGCTGTGGTCAATCATGCATCTGCATCATTTCCGCTATTACATGCAGCACGGCAACAGCAACAGGCACCTTCTGGTTTCGTTTTCCTCCTTGTATAAAACTCCAAGGTACTCGTTTAACATCCCACACTCAGAAGCCGGAACTCCATATCGACGGCTATGGATCTGGGGAAGGGGACGGAAGACTAGCCTGGGAGGGAGGTGGACGGGGATGACTCAGATGGGTGGAAGGCCGAGCCGTAGAAGTACTGGCTCTTGTTCACTGCCTGATCATTCCTCAGATCCCAACCAATCGACCTGAAACCGATTGATGGTCGTCTCACCCCGCTTGCTGCCCCAGAAAACAGACGGCAGAAAGTCTGTAAAATTTGGTGGTGTTGTCGCAGAAGTCTCTTGGCCAAAAATTTGATGATCCCGAATTTTATTACTTGAAGGGGATGCATTATCGATTATCCGGCTTCTTAGAGATAAAGACGATGATTTTTCTATATTCAGTCTTTAATTCCAATTCATTCCTATATTCAATCACCTCTGCCGCTAGCTTTGGAGTTCCTCTTCCCTAATTCCACTATCATATCAATCACCAAAACAGCATCAACCAAAACTCCTGTGACTTTTGCTGCCACTGCCACTGTCCTTTGAACCCACATCAAGAACCAAGTACTCTACCAATGGATCCACCATTCTTTCATTCTTCACCATCCAATAAGTCCCACAATAGATCATCCTTCACTAACATTCACAAAGCATAGGAACGATAACCAACAAAAAAATAGAGAACTATTAGAACTGCAATGTATCGGTGCACCAACCTAAATAGAAAATCAAAGAAATTAAACCTTTGAACGTCATCATGGAAGCAAGAATGAAGAGAATTATTAGCGACTACAACCTTCCACACTAACCACGGCCCTCAAATTCCCTACTCTATAATTCTCTCACCGGTGCCTGTTTTAAGCAATTTATAGTTATGACATATTAAACATGGCCACTAATTTTGCATGAAATTCTTCTCTAGTTTCCTAGCAATAACACAAAAGTCACAAGTAATTGCAAAGGGACTTCAAAATCAAAACCAGTATCTACAACTTAGTTGTCACTCTCTGGGAACAGTCCATATGTGTAAAGAATAAAAGAAGGACGCAGCAATTGGCTCATACAAGATTATGTGACTATTGACTTCAATAGGCTCGTCAAGATCTACTAATATAGAATACAATCCCTTGTTTAACATAAGAAGACATGATAGATAGAAAAGAAAATCCTCAAAATACAATCATGCAACCTATTAATCAAATAAATAACAACTTTGAACTTCACACATGTGCTCTACTGACCAACTCACAAACTAACTACTATAAATAGGGGAATGCCAATGCATTCCACTTTTATTCCAATAACACTTCATCTTTTTTTCCCCCAAACAGAGATTATATGCTTAGAGTACCATTAACGATTTCCTTAGGATCAATTACCGGTTTATGATATCTTACAAATGATGTTAATTACTTATACGGGAACGGGCTTAATGAACATCGAGGTAATGTAACTTCGCATGACTTCTCCCACGTGTGTGTACTCGTCATTGTGCTTATAAGCAACATCTATCACACGTGCCAAGTTGACAACACGAAGGAGGACAGCCCTGGGAGGAACAAATTCTGCTGCATCAAAACCTGTAGTACTAGGTTTAAGGAGTTGTTGGTTTAGGAGCTTCCACGAATCCTCGATTTGTCGGTAAAGTTCCTCGGATGCTTGCTGCTCTGTTACACCGTGTTGCTTCATGTAGCATTCCACCGCTGAAGCAATGTGCGGCCTTTCTTGTTCAAACTACAAGTGTCCAAATATTCGTAGTTGACGTTATAAAATGGAGAAGGAAAGAGGATTTTATGCAATTCTAGTACAATTTTTGTTTCTGAGTTTAAAGGAGACCTATAAGAAAAGGAAAAGGGAAAGAAAA